CCGCCCCCCACGGGGGAGGCTGGCAGCCCAGAGGGCTTCAGTCCTGGGGCTCCTGAAGACGGGACAGTCATTAGTGGATCAGAGGCTGGCATCGATCCCGCCCCCCCGGAGTCAGAGGACTCCCCACATGTTCGGCCATTTTCGTGGGAGGAAGCGTGCGGAGCAAAAAATGGCTTTAACCGTGAAGGGTGTACAAACCACCGACGCTTCCCCCACTTAATTCGCACACATTGAGGCCGCACAACCTGCACAATTTCAACGGGGCCCCTCCATGGTCGCAACAACTTAGCCGAGGTGGCCAATGGCACCTGGGGGCAGTGCAACCATGCTCGGTCGCCCGGGTGCCATTCGTGCGTGTGAGTCCGGCGCGACCGCAACCTCTCGTTTTGTTTTTGGCGGGAGTCAGAGTTTTGCATGGCCGCCTGCCGTGCCTCCGCCAAGCGAAGGATGTTGAATTTAACATGGTCGGCGATTTTCGACTTAGCATGAGGCGCGGCAATCGCCAGCTGAGTCGCGACAGGCGGGTCAACCTCGCGACCATACATCAAAAAAAATGGCGAGAAACCGGTCGCCGCGTGAGGAGCCATCCTGTATGCCGCCAGGACTCCCCCGATCCGTAGATCCCAATCGTTCTGGGACTCAGATACCTGGTGGGATAGCATGGACGTAAGAGTCCTATGCAAGCGTTCCACCATCCCATCCGTCTGTGGGTGGTAAGGCGAGGTACGAACTTTCTTCGTACCCAGAAGGCCACATACCTCGTGTAAGAGGGTACTAGTGAAATTTTTTCCCTGATCGGTCAACAACCGTTCCGGAGCGCCCTTGTCGAGGACGTAGCCCTGAACAAAAGCCTCCGCAACGGCCGCTGCGGACTGGTTGGCGAGGGGCCAAGCCATAGGCCATCGCGTGAAATATTCCACGCCAACCAGCAGGTACTTATTACCCCTCGGCGTGGAAGGAAACGGTCCCAAAATATCAAGGGCGACCAGCTCGTTAACCCGGGTGACCGAAATGGACTGGAGCGGTGGACTGGCTCCCTTCGCCGGCGGCTTCCGTTGTGCACACTGGGTACAGGACCGCAGCAGATCGTCCACGTCTCTTGCCATGCCCGGCCAAAAGTAATTAAGCTGGAGCGTGGCAAGTGTTTTGAGGGTACCCAGGTGCAGGAGCCGTTCATGAGCAGCCCATACAGCCCTACCCCTCAACGTGGAAGGCACCACCAGCCTGTGACGGCGGATTGTCGCGTCCCAATGCATGAGTACGCCCTGGCACCACCCCCATGAGTCAACGCCCGACTTCCCTGGACCCGATCCTTCCGCGCGACGTCGTAGTGCCAGGAGGGTCGCATCCTCCATTTGGAGGCGGCCCCACTCAGCACTCGACAAGCCAAGTAGGGAATCACTCCCACCCTCCGAAATAGGACCAGCGTCCGAAGGAGAATCAACTGCGGCCGCAAGAACCCGATCCTGACCGTCACTTGCCGATTTGCAACGGCCCGAACCCAAGAAACAAGTGCAATCCGGGGCGATCGGCAGGCGTGATAGGGCATCGGCATTGGTGTGGCGAATCCCCTTCCGGTAAGTTGTTTCAAAATCGAAATCCTGCATGATCTCGAGCCATCGGGACAACTGCCCCGATGGCTGGTTAATTCGTAGGGCATACTGCAATGCCGCATGATCTGTACGGACGGTGAAATGCCGGCCGTACAGATATGGCCGGTACTGTTGGATAAAGAACACGATAGCCAACAGTTCGCGGCGGGTGACGCAGTACCGCTGCTCGGCCGGGGACAGTACTCTACTACCATAAGCCACAACGCGCTCCACGCCACCCACAATTTGTGACAGCACGCCTCCAATCCCGGTATTGCTTGCGTCCGTGTCGAGCACGAACGGCATGGAAAAATCGGGGTAGCTTAACGGCGGGGCCCCCACCAGGGCATCCCGAAGAGAGACAAAAGCGGCGTTCTCCACCGGCCCCCAATGAAATTTGACCCCTTTTGACGTCAAGGCATGTAGTGGCTTAGCGATGGAAGCAAAGTCCGCAACAAACCGACGGTAATATGAAGCAAAGCCGATGAAGCTTCTAACCTCCCCCACCGAGGTTGGGGTAGGCCAGGAGCTGACACAACGCGTTTTGGCGGGATCGGTTGAGATACCTGACCGGCCGACGATGTGACCCAAATATTTAACAGATTCGCGCAGCAAATGGCACTTTTGTGGCTTGAATTTCAAATTCGCAGCGCGCATCTTGAGAAAAACGGCCCGAAGCCTATCAAGGTGTTCCTCGAACGTCTTACTGAATACGATAACGTCATCCAGGTAAATCAAACACACCTCCCATTGCAAGCCAGCGAGGACCAATTCCATCAGGCGCTGGAACGTCGCGGGAGCAGAGTGTAATCCCATGGGTAAGCGATTGAATTGGAAGAGGCCGTGCGGCGTTCGGAAAGCAGTTTTGGGTCTAGATTCGTCGTCCAAGGGAAGTTGCCAAAATCCTGAGAGCAAATCCAAAGTGGAAAAGAATCGCGATCCCGCGAGGGCATCCAGCGATTCGTCCATTCGAGGAAGCGGATAAGCATCGGCCACCGAGATCTTATTTAATCGCCGGAAATCAACGCAGAACCTTAGGGACCCGTCGTGCTTTTTAACCAACACTATGGGTGCACCCCAAGGGCTGGTTGAGGGAGAAATTATGTCCGATTTCAACATGTCATCTACAGCCGATTTGACATGATCCTTTTCGGCGGGACTTAACCGAAAAGGATTCTGGCGGATAGGAGCGTTGTCACCGGTGTCAATATGGTGGCGTAGCAATTTGGTACATCCGATATCGTATTTGTGTTTACTGAAGACGTCGGAAAATTCTCGCAATAAGGCGCGTAATTTAGCACGTTGTGCGTCGGACAGGTCAGGTGACTCAGCACACAACGCATCCAGCCAACCCTCGTCAGCGTCTGAGGCTAATCGCGTATGAGAATCGGTCGCCACCTGGCCAACGATCGGCGTTTCCGCAGGTACCGGAACCGCATGTGCGAACACGGTACCTTGCGAAACCACTGCCGTCCGTGTCCCGACATTGAGGACCGCGATAAACGGGTCCCCATCCCCTTTAACAATAGTCTGGGCCGTTACCAGATCTGGCCCACTCACCCCGGCTCTAGATGGTCCCAAAATAACGCCTCGGTCAGAGACCCCTTTATCGAACGGACGGCGCAAGCGCAGGGGTACCAACATCTGTGCCCCCGGGGGTACACGCACCGTCCGAGCAACAAGTGCCTGTACCGTAGCACAGGCAACACGCACGGGAGGGGTGGCAGGTAGGAACGTCATGCGTCGGCCTGATGGAAGCTCGATGCATTGCTGGTCAATCAGAATTTTGATGGGCAATTTGGCCAAAAAGTCTGTCCCCAACAGGCACGGAATAGCCAGCGAGGAAGAGACGAACACCGGCCCAGATAGTTTAATGTCCCCTATGGAAATTTGCGCTCGAATTTGACCGATAATACCCAACGAGCCCCCATTTGCAGCGTAAAACGGTATATCGACAGGGAGCAACGGGCGACTCTGAACGGGCAGAATATTATAAATCAAATCCGAAATGATAGTTGCCGAAGCTCCCGTATCGACCAATAACCGTACCTCCACCCCGTCAATATGTCCCGCGACAACGGACGACCCCGCCGATGCAGCCACAACTCGGTGAGCCAACTCGGACCATTGGCCCGGTTGGAGCGCCCTCCCCGACATGCCGCGACCCGACGCACCAGCACCCAACCCCCGAGAATTGTGTGCCAGACCATGTGATAGGAAAGTAGGTGTGTGTGCAGGCCGAACATGTGGGGTGCCATGACTTGCCCGAGGATGTTGCGAAGGCTTGTGAAGAGGGCCGTCCGCAGCTCCAGGTCTCGCACCGCGCTGTCGAGGAGCCCGGCATCCGGACGCCACGTGACCCCGGAGGCCACAATTATAGCAGACGACGAGCGTTCCAGAGGACTTGGGCTGGTCTCGGTGGCTTGGGACGTCACGAGCTGGACGCTCGGCAGATCGCCATCCTGCAGAACGATCCGCAGCGAAGGCTCCCTCCATTTCGGAAGAGGTCGCCGCCACGGTGTGTCGTGCAGCAGCTTTGTTCGCCTTCCTCCGCTGGGAGATGAGATTGGCGTGAATGTGCCTTGCAGCCCGCAGTGATGACATATCCGCATCGTCCTGCGCTAGGATGGTGAAGTCCAGATCGTCAGCCAGCAGCAAAATTTTCTCGGCCACCATCGCATCGATCCCCTCTTCATCCATGCGCGGGAAAGCGTCTTTCGCCAATGACAGCAGGGCCGTGCGATAAGCGAGTGGCGATTCCTTGTCACCCTTCTGCCGCTCATAGAAGAGCTGGCGACAATCAGAAGGCGGCCCATAAACGGTGGCCAGCAGCTGCAGCGCCGACTGAATGGTGGAGCGTGCCGACTTGGGTGCAGCAGTGAGGGTGCCCAGGGCGTCGCCGTCCAATAACGCCGGGAGAGCACACAGCGCCTCGTTGTCCGACCAGCCTGCCATCTCTTGGTGGGCCAAGAACCGGCGCTGGAACCCCCCCCAATCGCCGTCGCTTGCAACAAATACCTGCAGGGCCGGCAGGCGTTGCTGGAATGTCGGCTCCGTCTCCGATCCTCTTGCAGCGTCTCTTGCAGCATCCGTAGCGCGTCCCCGTACTGTATGGTCGGTGCTGGCGTCAGCTGGTGGTGACGTTTCAACCCCTGATAGGCTGCCACCGCGACCCGCCTCCGCCGATGACGTGGCGGCTGCTGGCTGGGCACCGTCTCCCGCGTGACGAGCTGGGACTCCTCCCTCCGCCTCTACTGTCTTCGTGGCGGGATTTTCGAGTCGCCCCGCTGTTGTAAAGGCGGGAGTTTCTGGCGGGCGTTGTCCATCTTCCCGCCGCGTCGCTCCTCCCGGCCCCAGGCGAGTTATTTGTTCCAGCATAGCGGCCGCTGCATACAAGAGCTCCGCCAGCCGCGAGTGAGCCAACGCCAACTCGTCAGTCGACGTCCCGGCCCTCTCCGACGGCCCCGCCGATGCCGGAGCCGGCAGCAGTTGTGCAGGTACGTCGGCGGCGATGTCTTGCACTGCCCCTCCCTCGTCGTCATCCTCTCCTGGGTCTTGGGCACGAGTCTTCCGTCTCGTATCCATGCTTGGACCACTTCTAACACCAGATGTAGTAAGTAGCAGAGGAGACGATGTCGAAGTTGAGACACACTGTTTATTAACTCCGGGACAGATACAATAGTTGAAGGGGTATCGGCCCCTTCACCCGTACTATGGGAAACCCACCCTAGTACTAAGCCCTCTGTCCTGTCCCCCAGTCCTCCTCTACTGGGCTACGGGAGGCTGACTGATCTGGCCCTGGCAAGCACAGATCTCGGCACCAGCTAACCAGCCTTGCCCTGACAAGGGCAGCGGTCTGGAAGCTCCTGGGCCGCGCCACTGGCTTACCCGGCTCGGCCCTTATAAGGACGGCGAGACCGGGGAGTCCCAGGGCCTAATCTCCGAGTCTTGGATCTTCACTGGTCAGCTTCGTGTCGAACTCCCCTCGAGCTCTTTGGGTTCCACCTTTTATAGGGATCGCCTCCGAGGGCTGGGGCGTGGGCAATAACTGATGCGGACGTCGGTGTGACCACCCGTGTATGTGAGTGCCGACAGCCCTGTGTTTGTTGTCCGCTGTTCCTCCCGTAATAACCCCTACACATGCTATATACAGTTTACACAGCTTAGTGGGTGTCAGTGTGTGCAATTCACTGTTCATCTACATTAACAACCATCAACACGTTTTGGAAATTCCACATTCCTGTTGCAGTAGAAGTCCATCCATAGAACAACGAAAAATTCCATAAATGTTGATAGTAACCTGCGTTAACTGCACGGCTAACATCGGTAGCAAGTGATATTTGAAGCAGTCGTTTGTATGTTTTCCTCCGGCATCTCCAGTTTCCTCCGATGCAATGTAATTGGTATTGGCCATTGTCACTGATATTGGGCAAACATCCCAATGCTGAAACATTTCCTGGCAATTATGAAATTGGAAGTAAAAGTATCAACATCGCCCCCTACTGTAAAAATTTGCCATGACCTGCCTCAAAAAGAGTTGAGAAGCCTGGGTAAAAGTATTATCCCTGCAGTACGCAGGGGAAATACTAAATGGCTGATTCAACAAGTGCACTGACAGATGGAACTTCATACCTGCTCATATATATTAAGGTCACAGTGTTGGTGGTATTCACATGTGAGCAGCCGTAGTGAGCATGGGTCACTGAGCATGGGTACTGACAGACGTATCCTATTTGGCAGATGCACGTAAGGCACACCGACGTTTTAATCCTGCTAGCCCTATCAGTGAACCACTAATGTATCATCATTGAACAAAAAGGCAAAAGTTGCATTCTTCATAAAAAAATAATAACAATCAATAGAATAAAATGATAGAATTCACATCCTGTAATAAGAACTATTAAATCAGCTGCCATTTGACTTTCAAATTGTGAAGCAAATGCACACAGCTGTGAAGGCTGCCCTTTTGGTTGTTAATTGTATTTGTTGGCCCTTTTATGAACAGCTCAAACAGCAATTTAGATCCAGGCGTAATTGCAGTGGCTGAGCGGCGACCCTTGGTAAAATGGTACCTGACAACAACAAAAAAGCAGAGCGCAGCATGCAAGATGTATAATGTTCCGAGGAAATAATAATAATGATGATGGCAATCACAGTTTCCGAGCGTCACGGGAAAGCTGGGATATTAAAAAGAGGAGGGCCCCCAACATAAACAACGAGATGATATCTGCCTCTGTGTGATGACACAGACAGCGTGGGCAGCGGAGATAGCCAGCAGCAAATGTCAGCGTCTCGTGGAGGCTTGGGACGGCCGGCCGGCCGGGTGAGGGGGGGGAGTTGTGGCTCTGGCCAGAGAACGCGCTCGTGAGATATGGTGGAGGTGGGACACGCTTTGAGGGCCACGTTTCTGTTCAAAGATGCATTCTATTTATAAACAATCCATCCACGAGCTGAATGTCAGTGCCTCGCCGTTCTGGTGAGTGTGGGGGCAGCGCTGGTCACTGTTTCCGGTCGTGGGCAGACTGGTGTCGGTTGAACAGTCCTCCCATCGGTCAACCGCTGTTAGTTGACTACCCACCAAGTGGTACTAATACTGGTAGGAACCTCCTGGTTCCACCAGCCCACAGGGGACTATTCTGTCCGTCCGTCCGTCGTGCATCCAAAAATGGGAGGGGTGGGGCTGGGTGGAAAGGGGAGGGTGGGGAGGGTGGGGAGGGAGGGTGGGGCTGGGTGGGGCTGGGTGGGGAGGGGATGGTGGGGAGGGGCTGGGTGGGGAGGGTGGAGAGGGTGGGGCTGGGTGGGGCTGGGTGGGGAGGGGCTGGTCACCCCGTGGTGCCCTTATAAAACTCAACGTTTAACCTACTCACGCCCTCACAGTCGGCCATATATGCGGAATACACCACCCCGCCGTTGACCCTGGCCATTGACCGAGCAACCCAACGTTCCTACCAGCTCCCTCCGCAGGAATGTGTTTTTATTGACCCCCCACAGGGATGATCGATAGGTCGAGTTGACCTCAGACCGGGATTTGAACTCGCAACCTTCAAATTGTTAGTCAGGTGCCACCTTGTCAGGCGCAATTACGAACCCTGTCACCGTATCGTGTGCAGTTGGTGGGTTCTTTTGTGTTCCCTTAATACATTGTTGAATAACCTTCCCTTGAAACGGAGAAAAGCTGATGATATCGCTGGTCTTCCAAAAGGAAGTTAATAATATACTTTTTTTCGTGAAGGATTATGGCCTATCTGTTATAACACAAGTATTCTTGACTCGGTGTGAAATTCGTATAGAATTGTTGCTGTTTGGGGTTTTCTCATTTATTAGCTATGTACCCCCCCCCCACACCTCACCATTCGCAAATCTTGATATGACGATCTTTATGTATTGTGTGTACGTATTTATATTTAAACAGTCATCGTCTGAAGAGAATTACTTCAGTTTAACACGTAGGCTTTCACGACCAATATAATCCATAATAGAGGTTTTTTTTGGGTTGGATCGTGTAAGTAAAATGTGTCGTTAAATCCGCCACCACCCGACGCAGCTAATTAGTAAGGTTTGTCACGTAAACAAAATATGCCAATTCGTTACTATATCATACCGGTGTGTTGGAAAGTAAATGTTGTGGGTTTACTCTCCAACACACCGGTGTGATCTAGTAACGAATTAGCATAGTCTGTTCACGTGACAAACCTTACTAATTGGTTGTGTTGGGTGGTGGTGGATTTACCGACACATTAATAGTTACGCTTTCTAACCCCCAAAAAAAGACTCCATTATGGATAATTACTTCTGCCGTGGGAATGTTGAATTTCCACCATGGCCGTGGCCTTTGAACCCTAATTTTACAGTACATGAGGTCAAGCAATAATAAAACAGCTGCTGCAGGGTGGCTGGGTGCCTCTGAGGTCAGAACGCTCAGCCGGCAACACTGACATCCCGATTTTAAATGTAGGCATAGCAAGCTGTGATTAAATTGGGTTCTCAGGTTGCAGTGAATTGATGGTCTTCGCCCAATCACCAATGAATACACATACAAGAACAAAAACATGAGATTTGGTTCTACACTTAATGTGGCTCACTTCTAGCTATTTGTGTAGAACAGAGGAGACTGAAAGGGATCTCAGATGTAACTCTGTGATATCCACTTATGTGGGCAATTTTCTAATACAAAGGGTGGCACTGCTGTATGAGAGATCAAATCATGATTCGTCTCGCGACATCACACTGGTAGCCCAATTTGGATAAAATTGTGGGGACATATTTTTAAATAATTTCAAAGACAAAACAATACAACGGGTGCTGCCACAGTTGCTGTTGGCAATGTACACAATAGAATACAAATGTAAAGTTCTATAATGGTGCAGATCTCATCGACATTGATGGACCTGAGCCACAAGTATACATTCCATACTCCTATGGTAGGGCCCAGTCTATCCATGGGACATCCACTGTTTACTTACCACAACATTGCACAATAAAGTATCATATTGAATTCGTGTGTATAAATACAAATGCACTAATTGTAATTACTGAATATGTAAAAGGGTCTATATGATTTCCCCCATATAGACCAGCTACCTATGACTGCGTCATTATCATTTTATCTTGCCACCCATGGCTAGGCCTTTCCAGATTGAGCATTATTGTCCAAAATGATCTTAATAGTGACAAAAATTTGCCGCCCGGTGACGCACGCTGGATAATAAATCCTGCTTCAGCCCTGGGGTCGATGACAATTATTGAAACGGATGCTCGGGTGAGTCAACACAGCTTCTCCTCCTTCCTTGGCGTACCTCTGGCCTGACTCACAATGGGTCACCAGCACACAATTATACTCCCAAGCCTGGATTGTTGCAGACCTTTTAGAATTGCAATGCCCTTTTGAGGTCCACATATCGTGCACCCTGGTAAGCGAAAAGAATGGTTACACAAACGCGCACACCCTGTTGTTTTCTCCGTACCCTGAGGTTAAATTACCTGGGCATTCAGCAGTGTAGGTGAGATCACAGTACAACTAAAACGATATATTGTTGAATGTTTAAAATTAACTCTTTCCATTGCACCCAAAATGTACTTCAATCCTCTTTGTACATTATCTTAAAACTTCTAAGTGTTATTCTTTGGGTCTTTCGGTACGACGTTTCGAACCTGATGACGACCGCTTGTGTTGCGATCGAAACGTCGTAGTTTTTTGTATTTTTTTTTTTGTTATTTTCTTTGAACCTATCTACGTGACTTTACCGAAAGACCCAAAGAATATGAATTCCTGCAGTCACAAAAGCTTTAAGTCAATATTTCTAAATGTCAGTCAAACGGTGAAACATATTAACTCGGGTTATAATGATCTATCCCTCGCGATTCGATCAATTGTTGCTATCTGGAGCTGAATTTTGACGTAAGAATCGATTATTTTTTTGCCTCTTTCTTATTTTGTTTGTACAGTTGTGTTCACTCCATCAGCCTCAATGTAGCATTACCATTTATTTTTGGTGTC